GGACAAAGAAAAAAAGAAAAGAAATCAAGTTCTAGTTTATCTGAAGGGATTAAAGATCAAAATTGTTAAAATGGAAGGAATATAAAGTTGGTCTATTTGATCAAGGTTAAAATATTGTTATTTCTATAACCCTTAATGTACTTTTGCTGACCAGGATTGAATGATGAGGTTTTAAGGATTTGCCTATAGATAAGAGAGGTGATATGGGATGAAGAGATTGTTTGATGTATTTTAAGAGAAAGTGATAAGTTCTTAAAATTGTTTATACTTGTTGAGACAAAGGGGGAAATTACTTTTTATTTCTTTTGGTTTTTTTTGTTATAGTCTTATTTTTTATTTCTTCTCTAGTCTTTCTTTTATATTATTCTTCTTTTCTTTCTTTTCTCTTCTCTGCACTTTTTTTTCCTTTCTATTCCTTTATTTTTTTTGTAGTTTGTATTAGCTTTTATCTGTACAATTTCTATACTTAGCAACGTTATTTGAAAAAAAAAATGTACTGAGAGCATCGTTGAATATGAAGACAGGCTAATCCAGTAAGTACTGTTATTATATACCAGGTTTTTCAAAAAGCTTTTGAAGAAGATATTCATCAAACAGACAACTATTACAATATCTTAAAATTCTATAAAGATACCAAGAAAATGAAAATACCAACAAATCTGACATGTATCTCACTACTTTGTGAGCATTATTGATTACTGGCAATTCAGACAGGTATAATAAAATACTGTAAAGTATCACCTATATAATAACTCAATGACAAAATATGTTTTTTATACAGAGTATCCTATACTAGTCTACCAATCTGCATCTTAGGAAGGAATTAAAATAAAATAATTCTCATTATGCCCGAAACCTCAGAGAAAAGTTCACACTTGTTAAAAAAAAACAAAAAACCCGAAGCCTGGTGAATATTCATTTCTTAATACTATTGTATCAAAATAACAGTAACAATCCAAACATGATTGTCAGCCATATCAAAATCTAACTGCACCAAGTGCAGCATGGTAAAATAAAGTTACTCATGTTTCAGTCTACTGTTTCTCTTTGGATTGTGTGTATTATTTACAATTTCTTCAATTCCAAGGCAATCTGATTCCATAGAAATTGGTTCTCACTGTGACATAATGATAGTACACTGACAGCTGTATTTTGGCATTCTTTAGCTCTTCAGGGCATGTTTTCATAGCTTCTCTTAGCCATCTCTTTATTTTTGGCCTCATTTCCCCTTTAAATACTCATGCTGCTCTATCTGTTTTACAGGCTTATAAATGTTATACATCAAAATTAGTTTCACTTATTAAGGGAGGAAACATTTTAAAGCATTCTGGAATCCATGCCTCAAAGCAAAGGCTTTATCAGCAGGTTCCTGTTCCTGGTTTCTTGAAAAAGGAAAATATTAGTGACCAAAACTGTACCTGATCTCTACAGAATACTTACCTACTAAACACTCATTCATCAGATTCAAAAAATTAATTGTATCAACAAATTCATATTTTTATTTAAATTGAAAATACATAAAAGCATTAGTGGTACTTAATAAGTTGTAATCAACCTTTATGGTTTTTTTTTAGGTTGGAATTTGGTCTCCTAAAGAATATGAAAATAAAAAGAGGACAGAAATCTGCGAACAATCTTATGTAATTGTGATGGAATGGAATTATGAAGGCCAAGCTCAGGCAGATAAACATTTTCTTAGCTCGCCAGAACCGCGTGGGAGGAACAAGAGGATGAGACTGGCACCTCCCTGAGGAATTCACACTGTTGTGGCTAGAGGACATTGGGAACTGGGGTTTTAGTTTGGGAAG